AAAGCCTGGTGACCCGGTTAAATGCGCTTGAAGGAAGACAGACGACGTGCAAGACAACCCCAGGCTCTGACATGCGAGATTCAGAAGATGGGGTTGTGCCTTCTACAGTGCATGGTGTTCCAGTTCCTATTGCCTCAGCCGGGTGTGCAGGGTCCTCCTCGGCTAACTGCGAACCTGCCAGCATCGATAGTCTTGATGACCGAGATGTCGCAAAAAAGGTGGAGATTGACGCCTCTCACAGTGACGCAGCTGAGACTCTTGAGGTTCTGAAGGAACGTCACCGGGCCCGACGTCTTGGATTGAAGGAACAGCGTCGGCAGGATAGGAAGGACAGACAAAATTCGTAGTTTTATGCCCCTTGACATTTTACAGTGTGTCATCACAGTCAATGTAAATCATTCCGGAGACTTGGTTGGCATGTATCCGTAAGCTACTGACGTGCTGCTTGCGGGTGTGCTTCTTGTTTCTGTCCTGGTTGAGTCGCTGCAAACCAGATGCAAAAAAAGGGTTTAGGGTTCGTTTCTTTGCCCGGAGTGGTGCCATTGGGATGTTTGAGGTTCTTTAACTCCCGAGGTTTCAATTTAGCGTCTTCTTAGTAGTAGGGTGTGTAACGTTTGGCCTTTTGGGGCGTCTACAATCCCTACGTTCCCAAAGGTTAACCTCCTAAACCCTAAACCCTAAACCCTAAACCCTAAACCCTAAACCCTGAACCCTAAACCCTGAACCCTAAACCCTAAACCCTAGGTGCTCAGAGGGCTCATAGGGCCGAACAGAGTCTGCACGCCGGATGTCCGAATTCTCCACAGCTTGGAAGCCTGAACTCCCAACCCCTAACCACCGAACTCCAAAAGGATTTCGACTCCTAGACTACCCCTAATCCCGAAACTCTAAACTATCCCTAAACACTCAAGCCTAACTCCTTCGCCCGCCCCCGCACCCGCACAAACAGAATTTGTTTCTCGTTTGACTGGGTTCTGGCGCAGACGCAAAAGGGTAAGTTTCCAGAACTAAGGAAACCAAGTTACCTACTAAGATCCGCATTGTGGTAACTTGAGTTCCTTGACTGTTAAACCCGTATAGAACCCTCAAAGGAAGCCTCACAGTTATGGTAGAATTCAGTTCCTTGGCCCTAAACCCTCGCAGAACCCTAAAGGGCACCCGATGCTAGAACCCTATAGTACCTTTTAAGGGGGCCCGACTCTCGGACCCTATGGTACCCTCTAAAGGAGCCCAGGTTCCTGGACCCGAACCCGTTAAAGGAACGGTGGGGTTTAGGGTTTAGGGTTTTGGTGCACAGTCGGCGCCTCGGTTCCTGGCATATGCGTAGTCCAGGTGTAAAAAAAGGTTTTGGTATCCTAGACCCGGGTTTAGAGTTTAGGGTTTAGGGCCCTAAACCCCTACTAAGCCCCCAAACCCTAAACCCCGACACTCTTATAGTACCCTTCGAGAATCCCTTTGAAAGGAACCATTAATAACACGCCTAAGCCCTAAACCCCTAAAATCTAACAACAAGACCCAAGACCCTAAACCCCAAACCCTAAACCCTAAGCCCTAAACCCTTTCTCTGCCATGCGAGAGGGAAAAAAACTCTAACAACAAGAGCCACGATCAGGCCGAGGCCCCGGATGCTGCAGAAGGCGTCTCTGCAGAGGCCCCTGCTGTGTAGCTTTGAAGGAGAGGGCTTAGGTTTTTTGGGGTTTAGGGTTTAGGGCTTGGGGTTTTTGGGGTTTAGGGTTTAGGGTTTTCGGTTGAGGGCACTGTTTTTCTTGGGATTTTGGGGTGAGGGTTCAGGGAGAAGGGATTTGGGAATAGGGTGTAGGGTTGGGAGTTTTGGGTCGCGTGGGTTTAGGGTTTAAAGTTTAGGGTGTAGGGTTGGGGGTTGAGGGTTTAGGGTAGAGGTTTAGGTTTTGGGGAGGTCTTATCAGGTTCTGAAGGGTGTCAAGTCCTATCACCCTTAACCCTCCACCTTAGACCCTAAACCCTCAACCATGATAGTACCGTTATAGAACCCTTTAGAGGAACCACCCTCAACCCTAAACCCCGAGTTCCTGCTGGCTTTTGGGTTCCTGTTCGGATACCTACAAGGTTTCTACAAGACGGTTTTAGGATTTAGGGTTTCGGTGCTGCCTGGGAAATCTTGTTCAGTGCTTAAGCTGTAGGGGCTTAGGGTTTATCCGTAGTATCGTATGAAAGGGTTGTTCAACCTATGGTTTCTACTATTGGTCAAGGTGGCTCAGAGACTGACGGAGGGCTGGTACTCCTCACGGCTTTCTGAGACCAAAACTTCAGAAGTAATGGCGAGAACCATTCGTTAACCTATGAATAGTCTGTTTCCCTGAGTGTCGCCGTGTGATGATACGAGTGCCTTCAGTAGAAGTGCTAGCTGTGACCGGGATGACAGGGGGAAGGGTCGGAGTGTGAGCAGGGGGTAAGGATTCAAGTCTCAAGTTTAGGGTTTGGGGTTTAGGGTTTAGCTTAGTGCATTGCAGTCCCTGCTCAAAAAGAGGGTTTAGGGTTTAGCGTAGTTTCATGGTTTAGTAGTTAGGGGGTTTAGGGTTTAGGGTTTCATGGTTTCGTAGCTAGGGGCAAGGTATGGAAGTTCAGTCATGAGAGCTGAACCACCGTATGCTCAGACCTCCAGGCGATTTCACGGGTCCTGATGCCAAAAGTCCCAAACTCAATCCTCTTACAGGGCCCTCCTAAACCCTTTAAAAGGGTTTAGGAGGTGCCTGTAAGAGGATTGAGTTTGGGTTCGGGATGTGTAGTGCCGATGCAGAGCGCAGCTTTGAGTCTTCGGCCGATGGTGTCCAAGCAAAGAGCTTGACTTGACATCTTAAAACAGTACCCCTTTTCGATTAGCACAGGGTTTGTGGGCTATTATTCCATCATCATACTTATAACTATAGCAGAATAGTCCCAAAACCTATGGTAATTGTGAAGGCACGTACCGTCACTGCACTTCCAGAGCACGCATTGTTGAGGAGGCCACACCTCCACCAAACCTATGGACGCGGTGCTCGGATCAACAGCCCAAGCCTGTCTTGAAGAACAGAGCACATGTAGCGCAGCTTGTTCTTTGGAGTCCACCTCTCTTCGGCTTAGCATCGGCCATGCTGCGGATTCAGACCGTGTCGGGTGAAGAACTCGTTGCCCTTGACTTGGCGAGCTTTCTCGAGGCGCAGCCCGCCGGCATGCATCCCGTCCGGGCACTGAAGCAACACTTGCACAGCATTTGTGGCGTGTCAAGGTTCAGGCAAAGGCTGGTGTTTCTGGATGATAACCAGGCTCTAGATGACCATGGCACCCTGAGACCTGGCGAAGTTCAGCTCGTACTTCTAAGCTTCTGCCCAGCATCGGACGCTGAAGTGACAGCACTTCGAGATGCAGCTGGAAATGGCATGTCAGCAGAAGTGGAGACGTTTCTACAAAAACCGCAAGACCCAGATTTGGGCGATCCGGCCCCTCTGTTCGAGGCATCCGAGTACGGCCGCACAGAGGTTGTACGCCTGTTGCTGGAGGCCAATGCAGACAAGGACAAGTCCGCGCTGGATGGCGATACCCCGTTGTTCATTGCAGCTGAGCAAGGTCAGCTGGAGATTGCACGCCTTTTGCTGGAGGCCAATGCAGACAAGGACAAGGCCATGCAGGATGGCAGCACGCCGTTGTTCATTGCAGCTCAGGAGGGGCAGCTGGAGGGTGCACGCCTTTTGCTGGAGGCCAATGCAGACAAGGACAAGGCCACGCATTATGGCAGCACGCCGTTGTTCATCGCAGCCCACGAAGGGCAGCTGGAGGTTGCACGCCTGTTGCTGGAGGCCAATGCAGACAAGGACAAGTCCGCGCTGGATGGCGCTACCCCGTTGTTCATTGCAGCTGAG